CTTCATTTATTGAGCGTGCAGCCAGGCTCTCCTGTTTTAGTGGTGATATTGTTGGCCATTTCAACATTCATGAGCCTCCTATGAGTGTTTCAATCCCTGAGAGATGGGATGAGATTCCACGAAATGGGTTAGGCTTGGTTTCTGGAATTGAAGGACAATCTCAGAGAACTAATGAACATGGAGCTGATGAAAATGGAAGACCTTTGAAAGTGGATGATCGTGGTAAACAAGCTACTGATGGTTCTTCTGCTAATGAATCTGATGAAGCTGAGTTTAGCGGCGGTGATGGGCCATGTGCGTTAGAGGTCACAGCCAACCAAGTTTCTGGCAAGGGCCGGAAAAGGAAAAGAAGTGGACAGGTAATGAATAATGATTCTTGTTCTGATCAACCCAATGGACCTCTGCAACAAGCTACTGTTTCAGCTAAGAATGATACTCAAAATCAGCCAAAAGGAGATCAAAATCCAAGCTCAACTGCTAACAAGGCTGCAGGAAAACATGGTAAACAGGCGTCTCAACCTTCAGATCCACCAAAGGAAGAGTATATTCATGTTCGAGCTCGACGGGGCCAGGCGACGAACAGCCATAGTCTTGCAGAAAGGGTAATATACGTCGCATTCAATCTTTGAAACCATGTAAGAAAACCAGAAGTTGACTGAGTTTGAGTTCTGTTATAGGTAAGGAGGGAGAAGATCAGTGAGAGGATGAAGTTTCTTCAAGAACTAGTCCCTGGTTGCAGCAAGGTTTGATGGTTAAATTTGTACTTTAGACACTAGAATCACATCAATTCGCTCGATTAAAGTTCTATGATGCAGGTTACCGGAAAGGCGGTGATGCTAGACGAAATCATTAACTATGTCCAATCGCTGCAACGACAAGTCGAGGTATGAAAATCAGTTCACCTTCTTCATAGCAAGTAGCATATATACTTCTGGTTTCTAAATCTTTGTTTGAACTTCCATGAGATTTGCAGTTCTTATCGATGAAACTCGCTACCGTGAATCCAAGGATGGATATCAACATCGACGGGCTCCTAGCCAAAGATGTAAGTGTAATTTCACGTCGAAGTTCTCGAGACAATCAGTTCATGCATATCCTGGTTCTAACACACATTGATTTTGTCTTAGATTCTTCAATCACAAGCTGGTCCATCATTGACATATATGCCCACCGGTTGTCCCCCGCCTCGTGTTTCTCATCAACGACTTATTCCAAGCGGTTTTCCTGCCATAGGGAGCTCTGAGATGTTAAGGAAAATGAGTTCCCAGATGAATCCAAGGTCTATTGGATTTAAGGAGCCTTCTCAGGTAGAAACTCAAGCATCTTGATGCTTATTTATCAATGGTTTGTTGAATGTATAAACCTATGTCCACAGATAAAGAGTGTGTGGGATGGTGAGCTCCAAAACATTGTGCAGATGAGCTTTGGGATGTCCACTACCCTCAATTGTTTAGAACTCGAAGGTAAAATAAGAACTACCCGTCTCGCTCAAACATCGAAACTCCATCCCGAAATCGTTGAACTCAAATAGAAATTGGTCTGTTCTTGCAGGATCTGATTCACCAGGCAATACAAAAGTTGCACATTGAAATTTCTTCATAATTGCCACGAACCATTTACGCTTCGTGTACATGTGCATTAGTATTAGTATTAGTATTAGTATTAGTATGAGATTCATCATGGCCACGAACTATTTCTACTTCGTGGTAATGTGATATAAGAAATACGATTACTGTATTCGGAGCTGCGTTACTCTAGCTGGTGACTGATTCGGAGTGATAGATATCGACCAAGGCAGTAAATTGCCCCGTGACGATCGCCCCGAAATCAACGACCTGGTAGAGAAACTAGTGTATGATCTCATTAGTTTAGATTATAGGAGACGCGTTGTCTTAGACGATGTACAGAAGTCGATGAATCGATATCTGGAAAGCAAGGAACATGAGCTTTTGCTTAGTAGTGTGTGTAGTTTCATTAGCTGAAGTGGGTTGGCTGTAACTTTTACAAGTCGAGGAATTTATTGTTGCGTTCTTGGAGCGGGTCAAAACCCGACCCATTTCATTCACGCATTTTGCTAGCCCGTTTGTTCTTGTATTGGGCCTACTGGGCTTACCGGAAACTAGGCCCAAATTTCGTAAAAGCAGGAATAAAATTACAAGAATATAATTACAGTTTTCCTTTTACCCATTTTTTACAAATTTATTATATCTAATTATTAATTATAATAAATCAATAAGCATTTATTTAAATATATATTCAATTTATTTTGATAAAAAAAATTAAATAAATGAATTACTTATTTACTAAAATTAATAATTAATTAGATGATGGTATATTTAATAAGTTAAATTGGTTAGTAAGTGGATGGGAGGTCTTCCATTTCACTCTTTATCCCACTTATCATCTCTACGTAGCACTTCTGCCCTCTTCAACTCAACGCTTTATAGATACACATTTTTATTGAGAATGTTTAAGGTCCATTTGTTTTTGTTTTGTAATTCCCGAGCCTCTCACGAATCGAAATTGAGTCCCACAAAGAAAAGCTAGTTGGATAAACAAGACAGAGATCAGCTACTCGACAATGCTACCTTGGAGAGGATGTAAAGCTAAACGCTCTAATATAAGAATGGAAACTCATATTCAAAAGCTTTTTCGATATGTGAACACTATGGAAGAGTTGGTGAACATTGTTCTAACTTCTAACTCAGCAGCTTCAACACCATGGTTACTCTTAATCATAGACAGACTTACAATGACCTCAACGTCAAAGAATGAACGTGGTAGATACAATAAACCAAATGATTATATATATATATATATATATATATATATTTTGGAGGGCCCGCATTGTTAAAATAAAGTTTTCCCATTTTATGGGACTTCACGTTACTCACTTAATATATTGTTTTCCCAATTATTTATTTTTGCTGACAGCACACTCACCCAATCGCATCTCAAGGCTCCACCAACCCCATCACCGTTTCTGACACACTCTCTCTCAGCGTCTCAAATCGCTCCCCCGCCTGCCCTCCTCGCCCACCTCCCCCCATTCTTCGCTCTTGTTTGTTCACGTGCCGTGCTGTCAGGCACCTGGACAACCTCCCTTCTCTTTGGTCAATTTCCTATTCGTTGTTTGTTTTTCTTTGATCTCCCATGGCGATTTCCGTACTTCAATTCAGAAACATGTTTCCAATATAAATACCCACTCTCCCTCATTCCTTCCTCAGCCTTCAATCACCACATCTGGTTCCAATGGCGTCGCCTTCATCGCCATTACCCCATCTTCTGCTTTTTCCATACCCAGCTCAGGGCCATATGCTTCCACTTCTCGATCTCACCCATTTCTTAGCTTCTTATGGGTTCCCCATCACCGTTTTGGTTACCCCCAAGAACCTCCCCATCCTTCAACCTCTTCTTTCAGCCCACCCTTCTGTCCAAACCCTTGTTCTCCCCTTCCCTTCTGTCCCCGGTTTGCCTCCCGGCGTCGAGAATATCAAAGACATCGGCGGCGAAGGCAACGTACCCATCATAGTGGCTCTCCGCCAACTCCAAGACCCCATTATTGAGTGGTTCAAATCCCACCCTTCACCTCCCTCCGCCATCATTTCTGATTTCTTCCTTGGATGGACCCAATCTCTCGCCCAAAAGCTTCAAATCCCTAGAGTCTCCTTCTTCTCCTCTGGCTGTTGGGTCGTTGACGTCCTCGATTACTGTTGGCGTCACGTACCTTCCGAAGAGTTCCGTAAATCCCCAGTGAAGCATATGGCTGAATTGCCTAATTCCCCCTCCTTCACTAATCAGGATTTGCCGGAATTTGTCACCGTGTACCGGGATTCTGACCCACTATTCAGTACCATAAGAGCCGACTGGTTTGAAGCTGGGACCTGCTGGGCTAATGTTTTCAATACCTTCGACGAGTTGGAGCCCGAGTATTTGGAGTTCTACAGGAAATTAAACAACAACGAGAATGTATTTGGAGTTGGACCGCTAAGCCTGGTCAAAGGGCACAACCCAACTGTGGAATCGAGTTCAGATGAGGTTCTGAAATGGCTTGATGAATGCCCCGATGGTTCGGTGCTATACATTAGTTTTGGGAGTCAAAAGCAACTGAATCAGCAGCAAATGGAAGCACTGGCATCCGGGATTGAGAAAAGCGGGACTCGATTCGTGTGGGTAGTTAAGACAATTCGTCAAACAGATGGTGGGTCCGACGGAATCCCAATCGGGTTTGAGGACCGGGTGTCTGGTCGTGGAATGGTGGTGAAGAGATGGGTACCACAGGAGGCGATCCTGAGGCACAGAGCCGTGAGAGGGTTTCTGAGCCACTGCGGGTGGAACTCTATACTGGAGAGCCTAGCGAGTGGAGTACCAATATTTGCTTGGGCCATGGAAGGAGACCAAATGATAAACTCGAAGGTATTGGTGGATCAGATTGGAGTGGCGGTGCAAGTCTGCCATGGGGAGAACTCGGTGCCTGACCCGGACAAACTGGGAGAGGTCCTCGCCGAGTCTTTCAACTCCGACAAACTGAAAGCCAAAGCCAGAGCTCTGAGCAAAGCCGTGGCGGATGCAACTGGCCCCAGTGGGAGTTCATTGAGGAACCTGCAAGAATTTGCCAAGAAGCTGGCCAGCCTTCCTCCGCCAACCAAGTGACTTCGCTGCCTGCCAATTCATGTGTATGGCCTTGTCTCTATTTCAAATAAAATTGGCCGAACCTTAATTGTCTTCCGTTGGTTCTTGCTTTTCAATATCTGGTCTACTGTTTATCTTAGTCTATTCCAAATTTCAACTCTTTCAATCAGTTCATAACGTCTTGGCTAATTGAGTATTATCAACAATATTGATGACAAATATAATCTAACCTAGTTCATTCATTTGACAGTAATTCTCAACTTATAAAATCAATATACGACAATCTCTCCTTGACCTCCTTCCCCACCCCCAAAGAAAAAGTTCAACCATTTCATGTGTTTGAGAAACATTCAGAGAGACCAAAATAATTAATTGAGAATTACCCAAACGATTAAGGGCCAATTTTTATTATGGTAAAGTTCAACAAATTCTTTTATTATGCTGTCGAATTGTAAACGTTAATTTCTTCCTTATTTACATGAAGATCAGGGCAGCATCTGGTATCAATATAATAACTGACAGGAAAAAAGATCTTACCACTTGTTCTTCTTTGTTGTGAGTTATCCTATCAGTGATCAAATATGTTTGATTTATCTTTAAATCCCTTCAAGTATCAATAGTTGCCTCTTCGGATCAAGTATCGACCATCCTCCATACTTAACAAATACAGGCGGGAGTTCGGAAAGTGATGCCCCTCTAGGTTCAGAGAATTCCTGCACAACGAAATTGCTAAGAAATAAGTCAACAAGATTTTTTTCCCCTCAGTCAGAAGATATCCTATGAGCCTTTGAGAAGCTATATACCTTACTTTCTATTCGACTCGCTGCAAGGAATCAGGCTCAGCTAATACTTCGTAGTACAACTCGTCATAACCACTCTATAAGACTGTCTGCTGCAGCCTCCAAGCTGGGAGAGTCCACAAGGGTCATTGCCATGACTTTCCTTTCGTTGCTTATCTGAGGCATAAAGTTTGATACATGCCACGGAGGGAAAATTATCCCTACATCCTGCAACATGAACAAGCAAGCAAGTCATATAACTGATCGCTAGCTTCCTTCGAAGGTTTTAGCAATTTTAGGGAGAGGAAACAAGAATAACACAAATGAATGATTGCTTCCTACCCATGATAGTCTCATGAGAAACTCATAAAGGAAGTCAAAGTAGTAGTTTCAAGATATCAATCAAGAATTTTAATGTGCCATACCCACAGTAATCGAAACAGAGGGTAAAGGATTTGATATGTGTAAGACATTCAGCGTGATCGTTTCATGTTAAGCTTGCCCTTGCATAAAAGTACATGGTTATGGTTGCAAATACTCGAGCTGAAAGAAATGTGACCATCAAGTTGAATAAGTTGGGAAAACCAGAGTTAATTTGATATAACTAGAGAATGGTACTCTACGAGAACAACCTCTCCTAACACCGATATTCTGGATCCATGCGTTCTTAATAAAATTAGAATCTAGGGGAAAAATTCATCCTTGAATTTTGATTAAGTTCATAATGCTCACCTGTACCTCAGATGCTAACCTCTTATGCCAAAATATGGTTATCTGGAACGGCGTGATGTGATCGACTGATCTCTTCTGATGGATCAATGTGAAATGACGCCAGATTTAACCATCACAGCAAGAAATTCAAATGCTGAACTGCTATCACCATGTTGATGGAAAGCATTAAGCATTGTCTCGCAGATTTCAGAATCAGGCGTTACACCTTCAGATAACATCATAGCAAATAAGTACTTTGCTTCAGTAATTAGACCCCTTTTGCACAGCCTATTAATGATAGCACTATAATCTCTGATGGAAATGACAAAACTCTTAGCCAACATTTGATTGAAGAACCCTAATGCCTTAGACACCTGACCCTTTGCACAATGTGCCTTAATAATTGTCATATAAGCAACTTTTGTCAAGCTAATATTTTGATCCTCCATAGAAACCAGCATTCGATCAGCATCCTTTAGGTCACCATATACACAAAGACCACTAATAAGTACATTATAAGTTACATGGGTAGGATCAAGATTATGGAGCAACATCTCATTATAAACCTGGAAAGCTTTTGCAATGTCTCTGGCCTTGCAAAAACATTGGATAATAGTATTATATGTAATCTGATCTGGCATTAGACCCTTTGCATACATATACTCAAGTAACTGGAGGGCTTCATGCATTTTATTCTGTCTGCAGAGTCCTTTGATTAGTACAGTATAAGTTATATGAGTTGGAACAACAGCATTTGCTTCCATCTCATGGAGTAGATCAAACATTTCCTGCATGTTTCCCGCTTCACAGTACGCATTCATAAGGGTAGTATAAGTTACTACACTGGGTAGCAATCCATTCAACCTAATGATTTCGAACATCTTTCGAGCCTCCACTAGGTCTCCATTTCTGCAAAACCCATGGACAAGAGTGTTGAAAGTGACAACAGTTGGAGTAATCCCCCTTTCAAACATTCTGTAATATAGCTGCATAGCCTCAGAAATATCACCAAGCCTTACGTAACCATCAATCATAATATTATACAAAATAATATCCTCTATCAGATCCATATGAGTCAAAGCATCAAAATATCTTCTTGCCTCAGAAATATTTCCATTCTCAAAGAAACCCAAAAGTACAGCACGTTGAGCAAAGTAGTTAGGAAAATTTCTCTTCAAACGCATTTGTTCATATAGTTGGTAAGCCCTTTGTACAAACCCTTCCTTGCAGAGGCCATGAATGAGGATTGAATATACTATAAGATCAGGTTTCAAACGTAGAGTTTCCATTTCATTGAGCAATGCCAATGCTTCTTCTATTCGTCCAACTTTACACAAACAGCTAAGTAGCACACTGTAAGAAATGATGTTCAACTGAAACCCCCTTGAAAGGGTTTCTTGCCGCAGCTTAAGGGCTTCCTCAATATTTCCCATTTGACAGTGCCCACATATCAGTATTGTATATGTCACGATATCCGGATTTAGACCTTTTAGCAACATTTTCTGGACGACTTTCCAGGCCCCACTCATAAAACCAAGCAAGAGAAAACCTTTAGCAAGTGTGTTGTATGTTACTACATCAGGCTCCACACCATGCTTTTCCATGTCATCTGTGAATTCCAGAGCTTCATCCATGGAACCTGCTACACATAACCCATGAATAAGAATATTATAACTGTACGAATCAGGAAGAAGTCCATTCTTGACCATCAAACAGAAAAATGACCTTGCAACATCTACTAGCCCCACTTTACAAAACTTTGACATAACGGTATTGATAGACACAATAGAAGGTCCAACTACTTCATTGCTGTCCTGTAGGAATGAAATCGCATCTTGTAACTTGGACTGCGCACATAGGCCGTGTATAAGTATTGAGGTAGTATATTCACTCTGAGGAGCTCCACTAGCTTTGATCTCATTGCATATATCCCACATGACATCAGTGTGCCTTAAGTTATGCAATAGAGAGTTATAAGTTGGAACTGAAGCTTGTAAATTTAGATCCTTCATTTTTGCGACGACAAAGAGGGCATCATGGATCATTTCATGTCTAGAATACGCAAATGCCAGCATATCCCATACCACACCATTTGAATCCCAATTCCTGAATTTGTTCAAGAGCAGGTCACAAAAGGAAGATGCAGAACCCGACCCTACCAGAGAGTAAATATCGAGAGACATAAACAACATAAAATAGACATTCCAATGTTAACAAAAAAAAAGGGGGGGGGGGGGGGG